TTACCTTAACTCGTAATCCCTAACTCCTAATCCTAAACACTTAACCCAAACCCTAACCCTAACCTCCTAACCCTAACCCTCAGATCCTAACCATAACCCTAACCCTAACCCTAACCAACCCAACCTTCACGTTAATAATAATCATAATAATAATAATCATTGCATTTGATATAGCGCTTTTCACGTCAGGAGGTCGTCCTAAAGCGCTTCACAGAACACACTGTAAAGTGAATTGACTGTATATTTGCGGGCGAACGCGGCAGCCAATTGCACACAGCAATGTTCCACAAACAGTCGTAGATTGAAAATGACCAATTTATTATTGGTTTTGGTTTTTTTGGAGGGATTATTATGAGGCTCTGTGTGGAGTAAGCAAACTTGCCCAAGGTTTCGCCCTCTGCCTGGAATTGAACTCAGGTCTCTCACTTGCAAAGCGAGTGCTCTAACCACTGAGCTCCAGGACTCCACGACTCTTAACTCTAAACCCTAACCCTAAATCGTAACCCTAAGCCTAAGCCTAACCAAAACCATACCCCTAAGCCTAATCATAACCCTAACCCTAACCCCCTAAACCTTACACCCGTAACCCTAACACCCCTAACCCTAACCCCCACCCACACCCCCACGCCCAACCCCACCCTCACCCAAATCCTAAACCTAAAGCTAACCCTCACCCTGACCCTGACCCTGACCCTCATCCTCATCCTCACCCTAACCCAACCCAACCCAACACAACCCAACCTAACCCTAACCCTAACCCTAAACCTAAACCAAACCCAACCCCAACCCAACCCTAACCCTAACTCTAAACCCTAACCATAAATCGTAACACTAAGCCTAAGCCTAAGTCTAACTTCAACAAGAAGACCACAGGATCGCATGGTCCTGAAGCTGTCAATCAGACAGACAAATAGCGACAAATTAAGCGACAACAGATAAGACAAAAGATTCATGAACCAGAGCCAAATTCGATACTAACCCTAACCTCTAAACTTAACCGCTAACCCTAACCCTAACCCCTAACCCCAACCCTAACCCTAACCATTAGTGTGGGGGCAGATTGGAGTGTCGAGTGGGTAGGGAGATTAGAGGGGGTGGGGGCAGTGTGGGATGTAGAGTGGGGAGGGAGAGTAGATGGTGGTGCGCGAGCAGCGTGGGGTGTAGAGTGGCGATGGAGAGTAGAGGGCGTTGGCGGGGCAGAGTGGGGTGTAGAGTGGGGAGGGAGAGTCGAGGGGTTTGCGGGGGCAGAGTGGTGTGTAGAGTAGGGAGGGAGAGTAGAGTGGGTGCGGGAATCAGAGTGGGGTGTAGAGTGGGGAGGCAGAGCGGAGGGGTTTGCGGTGGCAGAATAGGGGGCAGAGTGGGGAGGGAGAGTAGAGGGTGGTGCGGGGGCAGAGTGGGGTGTAAAGTGGGGAGGGAGAGTATAGGGGAGTAGGTGGGTAGAGTGGGGCGTAGTGTAGTGAGGGAGAGTAGAGGGGGGTGCGGGGGTAGAGTGGGGTGTAACGTGGGGAGGGAGAGTAGAGTGTGGTGCGGGGGCAGAGTGGCGTGTAAAGTGGGGAGGGAGAGTATAGGGGAGTAGGTGGGCAGAGTGGGGTGTAGTGTGGGGAGGAAGAGTACAGGGGTTGCGGGGGCAGAGTGGGGTGTAAAGTGGGGAGGGAGAGTAGAGGGGGTGCGGGGGCAGAGTGTGGTCTAGAGTGGCGAGGGACAGCAGAAGGGGTGCGGGGGCAGAGTGGGGTGCAGATTGGGGATGGATAGTAGAAAGGGGTGGGGGAATAGATTAGAGGGGTTGGGGGGTTGAATGTAGAGGGGGTGTGGCTGCCGAGTGTGGGGGGGTCGAGGTGTAGATCAGAGCGGGGAGTTTGGGAGAAGAGGAGGTGGGGTATACAGTACAGGTTGTGTTGAGCCCAGAGAAATGGGGGTACGGGAGAGTGTAGAGGGGGTGTGGGCTGGAGTGTGGGAGTCGGTTGGGGGTGTGTGTGGGGTGGCAGTGTGTGGGGAGGGGCTGAGGGGTGAGATAGAGAGACAAGCAGCAGGTGTAGTGACTGGCTTTGGGGCTGAACCAGCAGATCAGCAGCTCGGAGAGAGCCAAGGCCAGGAGTCCAGCCCCACCGTTACCTGGACACAGGGTCAGGGAATCAGCCCCGTGTCACCCTGTGACTGTGTCTCTCTGTCTGTGTGTGTCTCTGTAGCTCTGTCTGTTCTAGGTCTCTCTGTGTGTCTGTACCTGTGTCTGTCTCTCTGTGTGTCAGTACATATATTTGTGTCTCTCTGTGTGTCCGTACCTGTGTCTGTGTCTCTTTGTGTCTCGTTACCTGTGTCTGTCTCTCTGTGTATCTGTACCTGTGTCTGTGTCTCTATGTTTGTCAGTACTTGTGTCTGTGTCTCTCTGTGTCTCTGTACCTGTGTCTGTCCCTCTCTGTGTGTCTGTAGCTGTGTCTGTCTCTCTCTGTATGTCTGAACCTGTTTCTGTGTTTCTCTTTGTGTCTGTACCTGTGTCTGTGTCTCTCTATGTGTCTGTTCCTGTATCTGTGTGTCTGTACATGTGTCTGTGTCTCTCTGTGTGTCAGTACCTGTATCTGTGTACGTGTACATGTGTCTGTGTCTCTCTGTGTGTCTGTACCTATGTCTGTCTATCCCTTTGTGTCTGTACCTGTTTTTGTGTCTCGCTGTGTGTCTGTACCTGTTTTTGTGTCTCTCTGTGTGTCTGTACCTGTTTTTGTGTCTCTCTGTGTGCCTGGCCCTTTGTATGTGTCTCTCTGTGTGTCTTTCCTATGTTTCTTGATCCTCACCTATAAGGCCATTCACGGCCTTGCTCCCTCCTACCTCTCCAACCTACTATCCCCCTACCTACCTGCCCGTACCCTCCGTTCCTCTGGCTCCGGTCTGCTCCACATCCCTCGCCCCAACCGCCCTACCATCGGTGGTCGGGCCTTCAGCCTCTCAGCCCCGAGGCTCTGGACCTCCATCCCCAGTGCCTTCGCCGCCTCCTCCCTCTCCTCCTTCAAGGCCGGTCTCAAAACCTTTCTCTTTGACCGTGCCTTCAGCTCCCCTCTCGACTCTCTTCCCCCTCCTCGCTCCCTCCCTTCCCTCCCGTCACTCTGACCATTTCCCCCCTCCTCGCTCCCTCCCTTCCCTCCCCTCAACCTAACCATGTCCCCCCTCCTCGCTCCCTCCCTTCCCTCCCCTCACCCTGACCATTTCCCCCCTCCTCGCTCCCTCCCTTCCCTCCCCTCACCCTGACCATTTCCCCCCTTCTCGGGTCATGACACAACTGTGCAGCGCCTTGGGACGTCCTCCTGACGTGAAAGGCGCTTTATAAATTGAATCTTGTTGTTGTTGTTGTTGTTTGTGTCTCTCTGTGTATCTGTACATGTGTGTGTGTCTCTCTGTGTGTCAGTAGATATATTTGTGTCACTCTGTGTATCTGTTCCTGTGTGTGTGTTTCTCCCTTTTTGTCTGCACCTGTTTTTGTGTCTCTCTGTGTGTCTGTGTCTATGTTTGTGTCTCTTTGTGTATCTGTACCTGTGTGTGTGTGTCGCCCTTTGTGTCTGTACCTGTTTGTGCGTCTCTCTGTGTGTCTGTACCTGTGTGTGTGTCTCACTGTGTGTGAGTGCCCGTGCGTGTCTCTCTCTGCCTGTGTATGTCTCTCTCTGTCTGTGTCTCTCTGTACGTCTGTACCTGTGTGTGTCTCTCTGCCGGTGTTTGTCTCTGCGGTGCTGTCTGTGGTGTCTGCCCGTGTGTGTCTCTCTATCTCTCTGCCCGTCTGTGTCTCTCTCTCTGTCTGTCTGTGCGCCTCCGGTGACTGATCGACACTCTCAGGTCCTGCCGATGAGCCGGGCCGAGCTGTGCCGCTATCAGCAGTGAGTGCCCCAGGATACTGTGATCCCTCCGGCCTCAGGAACCGGGGACGAGAGACCGTGACAGAGGCTCCATTCCCACACTCGTTGACAAGCTGCAAGTCAAGTCCACTGAGACCCTGTTAACCTGCCCTCAAGGAGTAGAAGGGATTTTACTAAGACAATTGTGGGATGTTACACAGAACAGCAAAGTGCTACAGCACTTTAATATTCCTTTATTGGAACACACGTTCACATACAGTAAATATTTATACACCTCAACTACACAACAGCCGTCAGGAGAGATCTTGCAATGTATGTTTTATCTTTTGACAATATTCTTGAGTGTCGGTCAAAGGTTTCTTTGATAACAAGGAAGGGAGAGCAATACAAGTTAATAATTATTTCATTAGAACTGGTACTTTTCGAATTTGAAACACATTTACGAGCTGTTTAATGACTTACTGGAAACACGGTGCGGTCTTATATATCACCTGTTGTGTCAGTGTTTCTCAGCTCCTCTTGATTTATTGTGTATCAGCAATAGGAGAAGCTGCTCTGTGGAGCTGTCTGGTTTATGCCAAACATGTCACCTTGGGGCCAGTTCAGCTCCAAGCAGAACCCGCTCACCTCCCGCCCTCAGTGGGCAAAGGCACATTCAAAGACAAGTTGACTGTGATAGTATAGAGGGAGGGAGGTTTCCCGCTGCGTGTCCAACCAAGTCTCACTAACTCACTCCCTCTCTCCCTCACTCACTAACTCACTTCCTCTCTCCCTCACTCACTAACTCACTCCCTCTCTCCCTCATTCACTAACTCACTCCGTCTCTCCCTCACTCACTAACTCACTCCCTCTCTCCTTCACTCACTAACTCACTCCCTCTCTCGGTCTCTCCCTCTCTCTCTCTCTCAGTTAACAACTCTGAAAAACGAAAGAGAAAGTGACTGTTCCCTCTGTCGCTGATCTTCAACAGAACCATTTTGTTTGGACTGGAGATGGTCCTCTTCCTGTCCGGAGAGGGCAGAGGGAAGAGGGGAGTGTGAGAGGGGATTAGAGGAGAGGGCAGAGGGAAGAGGTGAGTGTGAGAGGGGATCAGAGGAGAGGGCAGAGGGAAGAGGGGAGTGTGAGAGGGGATCAGAGGAGAGGGCAGAGGGAAGAGGGGAGCGTGAGAGGAGATCAGAGGAGAGGAGAGCGGATGGTAAGTGAGATGACACTATGTGAGTGTCCCTCTCTCCCTCACTCACTAACTCACTCATTCCCTCCCTCCCTCCCTCCCTCACTCTCTCTCTCCCTCACACACTCACTCCCCCCCACCCTCTCTCCCTCACTCACTAACTCACTCCCTCTCTCCCTCACTTTCCCGCTCGCACTCTCACTCACTCACTTTCTCTCACACTCACTCACTCACTCTCTCTCTCTCTCACATTCACTCGCTCGCTTTCTCTCCCTCCCTTACCAACTCATTCATTCCCTCCCTCACTCCCTCACTCGCTCACTCTCTCTCGCTCACACTGACGCCCTCCCTCCCTCTCTCCCCCACTTGCTAACTCACTCATTCCCTCCCTCCCTCACTCACTTTCTCTCTCTCACATACTCCCTCCCTCCCTCCCTCCCTCGCTTACTCACTCATTCCCTCCCTCACTCACTCTCTCATTCACACACTCATTCACTCACTCTCTCTCTCACACTCACTAACTCACTCACTCACTTTCTCTCCCTCACTTATTAACATTCGTTTCCTCCCTCCCTCCCCACTCCCTCCATCCCTCCCCCCTCCATCCCTCCCTCACACACACACTCACTCTCTTTCTCTCACACTCACACTCTCACACACAATCACGCACTGAGTATCACACACTCACTTTCTCTCTCTCACACTCTCTCTCACACACTCACACACTCACACTCTCTCCCTCACTTAATAACTCACTCATTCCCTCCCTCACTCACTTACACACTCTCTTTCTCTCTCACTCTCTCTCACTCTCTCTCACACTCTCTTTCTCACACACTCACTCACTCGCTCACACTCTCTCACACTCACTCACTCGCTCTCTGTCACACTCACTCTCTCACACTCTCTCACACTCTCTCACACTCACTCTCTCACACTCTCTCACACTCGCTCTCTCTCACACACTCACACTCTCTCACACTCACTCTCACACACTCACTTGCTCTCACACTCGCTCTCTCACACTCACTCTCTCACACTCTCTCACACTCTCTCTCTCTCTCACACACACTCTCTCACTCTCTCACACTCACTCACTCGCTCTCTCTCTCACACTCTCTCACACTCACTCTCTCAAACTCTCACACTCACTCTCACACTCACTCACTCGCTCTCTCTCACACTCTCACACTCACTCACACTCACTCGCTCTCTCTCACACTCTCTTACACTCACTATCTCACACTCTCTCACACTCTCTCACACTCACACTCTCACTCTCTCACACTCACTCAATCGCTCTCTCTCTCTCACACTCTCTCACACTCACTCACTCACTCTCTCACACTCTCTGACACTCACTCTCACACTCTCACACTCACTCTCTCACACTCACTCTCTCACACTCACACGCTCACACTCTCTCACACTCACTCTCATACTCACTCTCACTCTCTCACACTCTCACACTCACTCTCTCTCACTCGCTCACACTCACTCTCTCACACTCACTCACTCGCTCTCACTCACTCTCACACTCTCACACTCACTCTCTCTCACTCGCTCACACTCACTCTCTCACACTCACTCACTCGCTCTCACTCACTCTCACACTCTCACACTCTCACACTCACTCTCACACTCTCACACTCTCACACTATCTCACACTCACTCTCACACCCACTCACTCGCTCTCTCACACTCTCACACTCACTTTCTCTCACTCGCTCACACTCACTCTCTCACACTCACTCGCTCACGCTGTTTAAGTGGCTCCGGGTGTCCGATCCCGTCGTGTTTCTCTGGAGACGGTCGGAGTCGTGTAAAGACCTGACCCCATGTCCTCTCCCACTCCAGGCTCCGTTCACCCCTCATCCCCTCCCGGCTCAGCTCCGCTGACCGCCATCCCCGGCCGGACCACCGCAAGGTCCTCGTTGGCCATTTACATGTCTCCTGGTTCTGGCCCCATCCCCACCTCAGCCCCTCCTCCGCCCGCACAGGTCTGGCACCCACTAACCGGGGCCTCGGTCCTGCGCGTTCCCTGTGGGATGGAGGACATTCCTGGGAAGGTGAGGGAGGAACCAGAGGGTCTCAGCGCAGGAATGTGATGTGACTGACAGCGAGTCACGACCGCAGGACTGTTCCCCAACCGATCCCGTGGGGAATATTGGATCCCTGATTCCCTGTGTATGATGAGCTGAGGTGCCGCGCGGTAACCGGGTCTGATCTCCTTGTGTAGGTGCCGGAGGATGAGCCGGAATCACTTGATTCAGATCCTCTGGGCTGTGTTGGCCGTGGCTCAGGCCGGTAAGAAAACACTGTGTGTGTGTGATTTTCTGGGGGGAGTGTGGGTGGGTATTGGAGATGTTGAGGCACGAGGCCTGTCTGCCTGTTCAGGTGGATGGTAAAGGACACCCAATAATTTTACTGATAATGATAATAATAATAATAATAATCCTTGTATTTGATACAGCGGATTATCAGGTCTTCCAGACGTCTCAAAGCCCTTCACGGGACACACTGTAAAGTGAATTGACTGTATAGTTTGTGGGTGAACCGCAGCAGCGAATTGCGCACAGCAGTGTCCCCACGAACAGCCGTGGATTAAGAGACCAATTCATTTTTTAATGGATTATTAGCCCCGGAATAGCCGATCCACCGATCGACTGACAATTGGGTTCCTACTCACCGCCGGTGACCCGAGGCGTGTGGCGTGAGGACACTCGCCCACATCTGGGGCCGCCGTTCATTGAGGATGTGTTTGGGAGAATACTAACGCTATCGATGGTTTGTTATCAACAGAGAGATTCACGGTGAGCGGCCCCTCGCGCCCAGTCACAGCCACCGCTGGTTCCCGTGTGGTGCTGGACTGTAAGTGCTCCGTATCCCTGAGGCCGGAGGGTGTGGAGATCAGGTGGTTCAGGACCAGGTTCGACTCCCCCGTGTACTTATACAGTGAGGGACGGCCTCAACTAGAAGAACAGGATGAGGTCTACAGACGCAGAGCACAGCTGTCGACAGAGAGGTTGTCGGAGGGGTTTGCGTCCCTCACACTGGCAGATGTGCGGGACCGATAACGGGACCTACACGTGTTTTGTTGACTACGACGGATCGTATGAAGATGCAAAGATCCAATTACAGGTTACAGGTCAGTCGTGTTCACCGCGTGTCCGCACGTGTACCGGCCGGGCGACAGCCGAGCTCGGTCGGTCATGTTCGGGGCGGGTATTACATCCGCTCGGCGCCGCTCGAGAAGGGAAGGGGGTTCAGCCCCAGTGTCCGGTCCCACAATCCACCCAATAGCATTGGTATTCATTTCCCGGTTGTTTGCGGGACGTCACTGTGTGCTATTGGGTTGTCTTGTGAGCCTTCAAACACAGTCACTTCACTAAGCCACGTCCCACGAAGCACTTTGGGTCGTCCTCCTGATGTGAAAGGCACAGTACCTAATGCCACGATCATCGTTGGTATAAACATTCACATCAGTTGGGTATTTATAATGGATATCTCACCCACACGATCTACGGTGGAGGGCTGTAGCTCAGTGGTTGGAGCCGTCGCCTCGCAAACGAGAGGACCCGGGTTCGATTCCCGGCCACAAAACACACAGTCAACTCACTTTACAGCACATTCTGTGAAGCGCTTTGAGACGTCTCGAAGACGTGATACGGCGCTGTATCAGACACAATGATCGTTATGTGTGTGTTATTCTCAAGACATTATCTGCTGTATATTTAACTCACGTTCTCCTGTCTCCCCCCAGCGCTTGGCCGCCAGCCGTGGGTTCACATTGAAGAGCAGCTCAACGGTGGTGTGAGGCTGTTGTGTGAATCCAGTGGGTGGTTCCCGGCACCAGAGGTTGTGTGGACTGATGATCGGGGACAAAACTTAACACCGGTCAGTGTCGCGACGGTCAGAGAGGACTCTAAAGGTTTCTTCAGCGTTGAAAGTCAAATAGAAATCAAACCGTCGACCAACACGATCAGGTGTGTGATTCGCACCGCGGATCATCAACAAGAAGCTAAACTGCGAATCTCAGGTCAGTGAATACATGAGACAGATATCAGTGATACTCTGAGAGATGTGTGTGTGACAGATGTTAGTGATAGTCTGAGGTACGATGGTGTGCGTGAGATATCAGTGATAGTCTGAGAGATATGATTGTGTTTGAGGTATCAGTGTTAGACTGAGAGAAGTGAGTGTGAGATATTAGTAATGTTCTGAGTGATGTGTGTGTGAGACCTATTAGTGTTAGTCTGAGAGATGTGTGTGTGGGTGTGTGTTGATGGTATGTGAGGTGTGGTGTGTGTCTGTGTGAGGGCTTGTAGGGTGTGTGTGTAGGATGGTGTGTATGTGAGTGTGTGTGAGGGTGTGTGTGAGGGGTTATGTGAGGGTGTGTGTGAGAGGGTATGTGAGGGTGTGTGTGAGAGGGTGTGTGAGTGTGTGAGAGGGTATGTGTGAGGGGGTGTTTGTGAGAATGCGTCTGATGGTCTGTGTGAGGGTGTGTGTGAGGGTGTGTTTGAGGGTCTGTTTGAGGGTGTGTGTGAGGGGGAGGGTGTGAGGGTGTGTGAGTGTGTGTATCTGAGGTTGTGTGTGTGAGGGTGTGTGTGAGCCTGTGTGTGTGTTTGAGGGTGGGTGTGTGTGAGGGTCAGTGTGAGGGTGTATGTGAGGGTGTGTGTGGTGGTATGTATGTGAGAGGGTGTGTCTGAGGATGTCTGAGGGTGTGTGAGGGGTTGTGTGAGTGTATGTGTGTGTGATGGTGTATGAGGGTGTGTGTGGGTGTGTGTGAGGGTGTGTGTGAGGGTGTGAGTGTATGAGGGTGTGTGTGTGAAGGGGTGTGTGAGTGTGTGTGAGGGTGTGTGTGTGAGTGGGTGTGTGACGGTGTGTGTCTGAGTGTGTGTGTGTGGGTGTGTGTGAAGGTATGTCTGAGGGTGTGTGTATGATGTTGTATGTGAGGGGTATTTGAGGGTCTGTGTAATGATTTGTTTGAGGGTGTGTGTGAGGGGGTGTGAGAGGCTGTATGCATGAGGGGGAGGGGGGGTGAGGGGTTGTATGAGGGTTTGCGTCCGGGTGTGTGTGTGAGGGTGTGTGTGTGAGAGGGTGTGAGTGGGTTGTATGAAGGTATGTGTGAAGTTGTGTGAGGGTGTGTGTGTGTGAGTGTGTGTGTGAGTGTGTGTGTGAGGGTCTCTATGTGAGGGGGTGTTTGAGTGTGTGTGTCTGAGGGTGTGTGTGATGGTATGTGAGGGTGTGTGTGAGGGTGTGTGTGACGTGTCTGTGTGAGGGGGTATGTGAGGGTGTGTGTGAGTGAGGGTGCGAGTGAGGGTGTGTGCGAGGGTGTGTGAGGGTGTGTATGAGGGTGTGTGTGAGGGTGTGGGTGTGTGTGAGGGTGTGTGAGGGTGTGTGAGGGCGTGTGAGGGGGTGTGTGAGGGTGTGTGAGGTTGTGTGTGAGGGTCTGCGTGAGGGTGTGTGAGGGTGTGTGTGAGGGTGTGTGTGAGGGGTGTGTGAGGTGTGTGTGAGGGTGTGTGTGAGGGTGTGTGAGGGTGTGTGTGAGGGTGTGAGAGTGTGTGAGAGTGTGTGTGAGGGTGTGTATGAAGGTGTGTGAGGGTGTGTTTGAGGGTGTGGTCGAGGGTGTGTGAGTGTGTGTGAGAGGGTGTGTGTGAGGGTGTGTGTGTGAGGGTGTTTGCGAGGGTGTGTGAGGGTGTGTGTGAGGGTGTGTGTGAGGGTGTGTGTGTGTGTGTGTGTTTGAGGGTGTGTGTGTGACGGTGTGTGTGAGGATGTGTGTTAGGGTGTGTGTGAGGGTGTTTGTGAGGGTGTGTGTGAGTGAGGGTGTGTGCGAAGGTGTGTGAGGGTGTGTGTGTGTGTGTGTGTTTGAGGATGTGTGTGTGAGGGTGTGTGTCAGGGTGTGTGTGAGGGTGTTTGTGAGAGTGTGTGAGGGTGTGTGTGAGTGTATGTGTGAGGGTGTGTGAGGGTGTTTGTGAGGGTGTGTGAGGGTGTGTGTGAGTGTATGTGTGAGGGTGTGTGTGAGTGTATGTGTGAGGGTGTGTGTGTGAGGGTGTGTGTGGGGGTACGTGTGTGTGAGCGTGTGTGTGAGGGTGTGTGAGGGTGTTTGTGAGGGTTTGTGTGTGTGAGGGTGTGTGAGGTTTTGTGTGAGGGTGTGTGTGTGTTTGAGGGTGTGGTGTGGGGTAGTTGTGAGGGTGTGTGTAATGTGAGGGTGTGTGAGGATGTGTGTGAGGGTGTGTTTCAGTGTGCGTGTGGGTGTGTGAGGGTGTGTGTGAGTGTGTGTGTGTGAGGGTGTGTGTGGTGTGTGTGAGGGTGTTTGTGTGTGAGAGAGGGTGTGTGTGAAGGTGTGTGTGTGTGAGGGTGTGTGTGAGGGTGTGTGTGTGTGTGAGGGTGTGTGAGGTTGTGTGTGTGAGGGTGCGTGAGGGTGTGTGAGGGTATCTGTGAGGGTGTGTGTGAGGGTGTGTGTGAGGGTATGTGAGGGTGTGTGTGAGAGTCTGTGTGAGGGTGTGTGTGAGGGTCTGTGTGAGGTTGTGTGTGAAGGTGTGTGTATGTGAGCGTGTGTGAGGGTGAGTGTGAGGGTGTGTGTGAGGGTGTGTGTGTAAGGGTGTGTGTGTGAGGGTGTGTGTGAGGGTGTGTGTGAGGGTGTGTGTAAGGGTGTGTGTGTGAGGGTGTGTGTGAGGGTGTGTGTGAGGGTGTGTGTGTGAGGGTGTGTTTGAAGTTGTGTGAAGGTGTGTGAGGGTGTGTGTGAGGGTGTGTGTGAGGGTGTGTGTGTGTGAGAGTGTGTGTGAGGGTGTGTATGAGGATGTGTGTGAGGGTGTGTGTGTGTGCGGGTATGTGTGAGGGTGTGTGTGAGGGTGTTTGTGAGGGTGTGTGTGGTGAGCGTGTGAGTGAGGGTGTGTGCGAGATTGTGTGAGGGTGTGTGTGTGAGGGTTTGTGTGAAGGTGTGTGTGTTTCTATTTCAGGGTGTGTGTGAGGTTGTGTGTGAGGGTGTGTGTGAGGGTGTGTGAGGGTGTGTATGAGGGTGTGTATGAGGGTGTGTGTGAGGGTGTTTGTGAGGGTGTGTGAGAGTGTGTGTGAGGGTGTGTGTGAGGGTGTGTGTGAGGGTGTGTGTGTGTGTGAGGGTGTGTGTGAGTGTTTGTGTGTGTGAGGGTGCGTGTGTGGTTGTGTGTGAGGGTGTGTGTGAGGGTGTGTATGAGTGTGTGTGAGGGTGTTTGTGAGGGTGTGTGAGGGTGTGTGTTAGAATGTGTGTGAGAGTGTGTGTGAGGGTATGTGTGAAGGTGTGTGAGTGTGTGTGTGAGGGTGTGTGTGATGGTGCGTGTGTGTGTGAGTGTGTGTGTGAGGGTGTGTGTGAGGGTGTGTCTGAGGGTGTGTGTTGGGGTGTCTGTGACCGATTGATGTGAGTACTGTGGTTCCTGTTCCTCAGACACTGACCTGCATCGGAGAGAAGCCTTTTCCTCACTGCAAACGGGAAGAAAGGAGAGAGGGTCAGGTCTCTGGTCACCAGGAGAAGCTTCCCCCGGGTTCACTGCCCACTGACCCCTCGCCCTCAAACTGACCGCACACTCCCCATGATCCTCATGCTAACGGTCACCGGCCAGGGTTAGCTCACCGGCCGGGGTTAGCCCATTCCTAGGACACCGGCCCACACCTGTAACGGCTGAGATGCCAATATTACATTGGGGACAGTTTCTGTACACATTGCAGAGAGATGTCGGAACGACAGGGCCGGGATAACGGACCGGGATGGAGGCGGTGTGAGGGCAGTGAGGGCAGCCGTCGGTGACATGTGTCCAGGGGACAGGAGGTCTCTGGACTGACGGGGACGGAGGAAGGAAATGCAGTGGAGAGGACAGAACATTGGCAAACGGCCACTGTAACCTCATTGGGAATAACCGTCACCAAACCCGTTGGAGCAGTAAAGGTGAGGCCTCGGGACAGCCCTGAGATAACAGGGACCGAGTCGTCAATAGAGCAGAGGACGGGCGGGTTAGACAGCGGATAAACAGTCAACCAAACATCCCCGGAAGATGGAATGGGTTTGGTGGTGAAAGTTACCCGATGTGGGGACAAGTGGGAACAGTTTAAATGGAGAGGATCGGGGAGATCGAGGGGGTGACCTACAGACTTGGTGTCGGGGCAGAGAGGGAGGGAACCGGACAAAGCTGCGAAGACGGCCGAGTCTCTCTATAACTTTCTCTCTGAGTCGCTTTGTGTAACTCTCTCTCTCTCTCTCTCTCTCTCTCTCTGTGTGTGTGTTCGCAATGGCTGAACGTGTCCCTCTGTCCGTCCCATCTCTCTCTCCGTTGTCCTTCTCCATCGGTTTGTCTCAGAAACACAGTTCACGGGCGACGCGGAGCCGAGACGATGTTACGGATGTCGGAGGGATTTATTTTTGCTTACCCAGTCTGATCTGAGGAGCTGGTGAATAAAAAATAAAATGGTGAGGACAGAAGTTATTACCACAGACGAACCGATTCTGGTACTATTTTACGGTGATCAATAATCTATAAATGTACAGCTTTACCCCAACATTATAAACCGCACCACATTGGAGCTGAACGGTTCACTGTCGCTCGAAGGTCGACACTGACGGTCTCTGGTTTGGGGAATGTCTCTGTTTTGTGTTTCAGCGTTTGGTCCCATTTACAATTGGGTTCCACTGATACAGAGTGAGATATAGAGAGAATGATCGCGGCCGATGTGTGATGTATACGTCTGTCTTTACTGCGGCGCAGCGGTCAGACACTCGCCTCGCAAGCGAGAGACCTGGGTCTGATTCCCGGCCAACCCCTGGACAAGTTTCCTTACTCTACACGTCTCTGTTTGCCAACAGTAAGTAGGAACCCGTTGTCAGTCGATCGTCATCAGATCACATTTCCGGTGGTAATAATTCCTTCAAATAATAATAATAATAATTTGGTGACTTAATCCACGACTGTTCATGGGGACGTCAATTGACCGCCACGTTCCGGCCACAGAATATACAGACAATTCACTTTACAGTATATTCTGTGAAACACTTTGACACCTCGAAGACGTGATGAGGCTTTGTGTGAAAGGATTATTATTATTATTATTATTATAATACGAGGGCAAAGGATTATTACACAAACTGATGATGTACAAAAACACCCCCACGTTACTGCCACGAACTAATCCCTCGTCTGTCTCCGCGGACAAGGAACGGGATGAGACCGACCGTCTTATCAGAACCACCTCCGACCCACACATTCCCAGAAACGTTTACCGTCCGTTCTGTCGCCAACGTTTATAAATCTTGCGGTTGTATGTGAACGCACACAGTGTCGTGTGACTTGTTATGAGCGTTGGTGCTGACGGGAACTTACCTGTGACCTCTCGGTGCTGCTTCACGCCGTAGCCGACAAGGACACTCAGCACCAATCCGGCAAAGCCCAGGAGCAGTGAGGAAACCACCAAACCCACTGGCACTTTGGGGAAGAACTGGTCTGTCAGGAAACGTACAGAGACGTGTAAAGACCTATTCTAATATCCAACAGCAAACGCCTCTGTTCACTGCGGTTTGACGTATAACACACAACAGGAGTCGGGGACGGGATCGCTTTCAATCGCCCCTCAACGGTCGCGGCTCATCTTCACTGTCACATCAGTTTGTTTCACGGAAACTCACTGAAGGGATTGAGAAATGCAGTGTCGTAATCTCAGGGTCGGAGACACAGCGCAAACCGCCCAATGGTCATCGTCTGAATCTGCCTCAGAAGGTGAAACTACGGCCACAATTCACCTTATTGCTCTCTCTCCTCAATCATTCACAATATCCGATTAATTTTGTTATCCTTACATTTCCTACAGAGTCTCAGTACGTTGCGCAGACGTCTGAAAGCGCTTCACAGCAAATACTGTAGAGTGTACTGTGTATTGTGTATCATTATTACTATTATTGGAGTGATTTTTACCCCTTCCCCGGCAGCGATCCGCCATTGACTAACAAGCAGGAGGGAGTTAAGGCCCCGTTCACTGGTCTCGTTCGCACACAGGTTAGCGCTGCCGTCGCCGGTCGTGTTTTTATTCGTTTTCAGAGAATGTGATCAAAAGGCAGAATGAAGATTTTTTTCGTCTGAACTGGTTTTCTTTTTTAATGTGTTACACAAACCCGAGCGCATCTCTGAGGCTGTCAGTGTTATCTCTCTCGTACACTCACACACAGATCTCGCAACCGATCGCTGGTATCTCTCCCACACACACATCTCTCTGAATATCACTGATATCTCTCACACAGATATCTCTCAGACTATCACTGATATATCTCACACACATCTCTCTGAATATCACTGATATCTCACACACAGATATCTCTCAGACTATCACTGGTATCTCTCACACACTCACATACACACACATCTCTCAGACTATCACTGATATCTCACACACTCACAAACATCTATCGCACTGATATCGCTCACAGACACATCTGTCAGACTACAACAACAACAACAAGATTCCATTTACAGAGCGCCTTTCACGTCCGGAGGACGTCCCAAGGCGCTGGACAGTTCGGTCAGGACCCGAGCAGTGGGTGGAAATAGTCAGTGTGAGGGAAGGGAGGGAGCGAGGCGGGGGGAAATGGTCAGGGTGAGGGAGGGAGGGAGGGAGCGAGGAGGGGAAGATAGTCAGGGTGAGGGGACGGAAGGAGGGAGCGAGGAGGGGGAATGGTCAGGGTGAGGGGAGGGAAGGGAGGGAGCGAGGAGGGGAAGATAGTCAGGGTGAGGGGACGGAAGGGAGGGAGCGAGGAGGGGGGGAAATGGTCAGGGTGAGGGAGGGAGGGAGGGAGCGAGGAGGGGAAGTGGGGGGGGGGGGGGGGGGGGGGGGGGGGGGGGGGGGGGGGGGGGGGGGGGGGGGGGGGGAGATGGTCAGGGTGAGGGGAGGGAAGGGAGGGAGCGAGGAGGGGGGAAATTGTCAGGGTGAGGGGAGGGGAGGGAGGGAGCGAGGAGGGGACAGATGGTCAGGGTGAGGGGAGGGAAGGGAGGGAGCGAGGAGGGGGGAAATGGTCAGGGTGAGAGGAGGGAAGGGAGGGAGCGAGGAGGGGGTAGAAAGTCGAGAGGGAGTCAAAGGCTCATTCAAAGAGAAAGGTCTCAAGGCCTCGAAGGAGGAAAGGGAGGAAGCGAAGGCGAAGGCACTGGGGATAGAGTTCCAGAGCCTCGGGGCTGAGAGGTTGAAGGCCACCGATGGTCGTGCGGTTGGGGCGGGGGATGTGGAGCAGACCGGAGCCAGAGGAACGGAAGGTACGGGGCGGTACGTGGGGGTAGAGTAGGTCAGAGAGGGAGGAGGGAGCGAGGCCGTGAATGGCCTCGTAGGTGAGGATGAGGACCTTGAATTGGATCCTCTGGGGAATGGGGAGCCAGTGGAGGCGAGCGAGGGCGAGGGCGAGGGTGGGAGTGATGTGGTCCCGAAGCCTAGTGCGGGGATATCACTGATATCTCTCACACTCACATACACACACATCTCAGACTATCACCGACATCTCACACACTCACAAACATCTACCGCACTGATATCGCTCACACACACATCTCTTAGAGACTATCACTGATATCTCTCACACACATCTCTCAGAGACTATCACTGATACCTCACACACATCTCTCAGAGACTATCACTGATATCTCTCACACACATCTCTCAGAGATTATCACTGATATCTCTCACGCACACATCTCTCAGAGACTATTACTGATATCTCTCACACACATCTCTTAGAGACTATCACTAATATCTCTCACACACATCTCGGAGACAATCACTGATATCTCTCACACACATCTCTGAGACTATCACTGTTATCTCTCACACACATCTCTTGGAGACTATCATTGGTATCTCCCACATACATCTCTCAGGACTATCACTGATATCTCTCTCACACACAGACACACACACACATCTCTCAGACTAACACTAATAGGTCTCACACACACATCACTCAGAACATTACTAATATCTCACACTCACTTCTCTCAGTCTAACACTGATACCTCAAACACAATCACATCTCTCAGACTATCACTGATATCTCACGCACACCATCGTACCTCAGACTATCACTAACATCTGTCACACACACATCTCTCAGAGTATCACTGATATCTGTCTCATGTATTCACTGACCTGAGATTCGCAGTTTAGCTTCTTGTTGATGATCCGCGGTGCGAATCACACACCTGATCGTGTTGGTCGACGGTTTGATTTCTATTTGACTTTCAACGCTGAAGAAACCTTTAGAGTCCTCTCTGACCGTCGCGACATTGACCGGAGTTAAGTTTTGTCCCCGATCATCATTCCACACAACCTCTGGTGCCGGGAACCACCCACTGGATTCACACAACAGCCTCACACCACCGTTGAGCTGCTCTTCAATGTGAACCCACGGCTGTCGGCCAAGCGCTGGGGGGAGACAGGAGAACGTGATTTAAATATACAGCAGATAATGTCTTGAGAATAACACACACATAATGCTCATTGCGTCTGATACAGCAACGTATCACGTCTTCGAGACGTCTCAAAGCGCTTCACAGAATGTACTGTAAAGTGAGTTGACTTTGTGTTTTGTGGGCGAAACGCGGCGGCCGATGGCGCACAGCAGTGTCCCCACAAACAATCGTGGAGTGATTGACCGAATTATTTTTATTTATTACAAAGCAATTTCCATCAGAAAAGTGATCCGCCTATTGACTAACAACTGGGTTCCTACATACTGTTGGTAAACAGAGGCGTGAGTGCGGAGTAAGGAAACGTACCCAATATTTCGCCCGGACCGGCCGGGAATCGAACCCGGGTCCTCTCGCTTGCGAGGCGACGGCTCCAACCACTGAGCTACGGCCCTCCACCGTGGATCGTGTGTGTGAGATATCCATTATAAATACCCAACGGATGTGAATGTTTATACCAACGATGATGCTGGCATTAGGTACTGTGCCTTTCACGTCAGGAGGACGTCCCAAAGTGCTTCGTGGGACGTGGCTTAGTGAAGTGACTGTGTTTGAAGGCTCACAAGACAACCCAATAGCACACAGTGACGTCCCGCAAACAACCGGGAAATGAATACCAATGCTATTGGGGTGGATTGTGGGACCGGACACTGGGGCTGAACCCCCTTCCCTTCTCGAGCGGCGCCGAGCGGATGTAATACCCGCCCTGAACATGACCGACCGAGCTCGGCTGCCGTCCGGCCGGTACACGTGCGAACACGCGGTGAACACGACTGACCTGTAACCTGTAATTGGATCTTTGCATCTTCATTCGATCCGTCGTAGTCAACAAAACACGTAAAGGTTCCGTTATCGGTCACCCGCACATCTGTCAGTGTGAGGGACGCAAACCCCTCCGTCAACCTCTCTGTCGACAGCTGTGCTCTGCGTCTGTAGACCTCATCCTGTTCTTCTAGTTGAGGCCGTCCCTCACTGTATAAGTACACGGGGGAGTCGAACCTGGTCCTGAACCACCTGATCTCCACACCCTCCGGCCTCAGGGATACGGAGCACTTGCAGACCAGCACCACATGGGAACCAGCGGTGGCTGTGACTGGGCGCGAGGGGCCGCTCACCGTGAATCTCTCTGTTGATAACAAACCATCGATAGCGTTAGTATTCTCCCAAACACATCCTCAATGAACGGCGGCCCCAGATGTGGGCGAGTGTCCTCACGCCACACGCCTCGGGTCACCGGCGGTGAGTAGGAACCCAATTGTCAGTTGATCGGCGGATCGGCTATTCCGGGGCTAATAATCCATTAAAAAANTAAATTGGTCACTTAATCCACGGCTGTTCGTGGGGACACTGCTGTGCGCAATTCGCTGCTGCGCTTCACCCACAAACTATACAGTCAATTCACTTTACAGTGTGTCCCGTGAAGGGCTTTGAGACGTCTGGAAGACCTGATAATCCGCTGTATCAAATACAAGGATTATTATTATTATTATTATTATTATCGTTATCAGTAAAATTATTGGGTGTCCTTTACCGTCCACCTGAACAGGCAGACAGGCCTCGTGCCTCTACATCTCCAATACCCACCCACACTCCCACCAGAAAATCACACACACACAGGGTTTAAACCGGTCTGAGCCACGGCAAACACAGCCCAGAGGATCTGAATCAAGTGTTTCCGGCTCATCCTCCGGCACCTACACAACGAGATCAGACCCGGTTACCGCGCGGCACATCAGCTCATCATACACAGGGAATCAGGGATCCAATATTTCCCACGGGATCGGTTGGGGAACAGTCCTGCGGTCCTGACGGTCAGCGATGACTGATGTTCGTGACTCGCTGTCAGCCACATAACAGTCCTGCGCTGAGACCCTCTGGTTCCGCCCTCACCTTCAAAGGAATGTCCTCCATCCCACAGGGAACGCCGCGCAGGACCGAGGCCCCGGTGAGTGGGTGCCAGACCTGTGCGGGCGGAGAAGTGGCTGAGGTGGGGATGGGGCCAGAACCAGGAGACATGTAAATGGCCAATGAGGACCTTGCGGTGGTCCGGCCGGGGATGGCGGTCAGCGGAGCTGAGCCGGGAGGGGATGAGGGCTGAGCGGAGCCTGGAGTGGGAGAGGACATGGGGTCAGGTCTTTACACGACTCCGACCGTCTCCAGAGAAACACGACGGGATCGGACACCCGGAGCCACTTAAACAGCGTGAGCGAGAGAGTGAGTGTGAGAGAGTGAGCGAGTGTGAGACAGTGAGTGTGAGAGAGTGTGAGAGTGTGTGAGCGAGAGAGTGAGTGTGAGAGTGAGTGTGAGAGTGAGTGTGAGCGAGTGAGAGAGAGTGAGAGCGAGTGTGAGTGTGAGAGAGTGAGTGTGAGAGAGTGAGTGAGTGTGAGAGAGTGTGAGAGAGTGTGAGAGTGTAGGTGAGAGTGTGAGTGTGAGAGACTGCGTGTGAGAGAGTGTGAGAGAGTGTGAGAGAGAGAACGAGTGAATGGGTGTGAGAGAGCGAGTGAGTGAGTGTGAGAGAGCGAGTGTGAGAGCGAGTGAGTGTGTGTGAGAGTGAGTGTGAGAGAGTGTGAGAGTGTGAGAGAGTGAATGTGAGTGTGTGAGAGAGTGAGTTTGAGAGAGTGTGAGAGAGTGAGTGAGTGTGAGAGAGTGTGACAGTGAGTGTGAGATTCTGTGAGAGTGAGTGTGAGAGAGTGTGAGAGAGCGAGTGAGTGAGTGTGAGAGTGAGTGTGAGACAGCGAGTGAGTGAGTGTGAGAGTGAGTGTGAGTGAGTGAGTGTGAGAGAGTGAGTGTGAGAGTGAGTGTGAGTGTGAGAGAGTGAGTGTGAGAGAATGAGTGAGAGAGAGTGAGAGTGAGTGTGAGAGTGAGTGTGAGAGAGCGAGTGAGTGAGTGTGAGAGAGAGTGTGAGAGAGTGAATGTGAGTGTGAGAGAGTGAGTGTGAGAGAATGAGTGAGAGAGAGTGAGAGTGAGTGAGTGTGAGAGTGAGTGTGAGAGAGTGTGAGAGAGAGAGTGAGTGAGTGTGAGAGAGAGAGTGTGAGAGAGAGTGTGAGAGAGTGAGTGTGAGAGAGAGTGTTAGAGAGAGTGAGTGAGTGTGAGAAAGTGTGTAAGTGAGTGTGAGAGAGTGAGTGTGAGAATGTGAGCGAGTGAGTGAGTGTGTGAGAGAGAAAGAGAGTTTGTGAGTGAGTGAGGGAGGGAATGAGTGAGTTAGTAAGTGTGTGAGTGTGTGTGAGAGTGTGAGTGTGGGAGAAAGAGAGTGAGTGATTGTGTCTGTGAGTGAGGGAGCGGGGAGGGAGGGAGGAAACGAATGAGTTAGTAAGTGAGGGAGAGAAAGTGAGTGAGTGAGTGAGTGTGAGAGTGAGTGAATGAGTGTGTGAATGATAGAGCGAGTGAGGGAGGGAATGAGTGAGTAAGCGAGGGAGGGAGGGAGAGAGGGAGTATGTGAGAAAGTGAGTGAGTGAGTGAGTGAGGGAATGAGTGAGTGAGGGAATGAGGGAATGAGGGAGTTAGTAAGTGGGGGAGAGAGGGAGGGTGTGTGAGCGAAGTGAGTGAGTGAGTGAGTGAGTGAGTGAGTGTGTGAGACTCATTGAGTGAGTGGGTGTGAGAGTGTGAGTGTGAGAGAAAGAGAGTGAGTGTGTGAGTGAGGGAGGGAGGAAACGAATGAGTTAGTAAGTGAGGGAGAGAAAGTGAGTGAGTTAGTGAGTGTGAGAGAGAGAGTGTGTGAGACTCAGTGAGTGAGTGTGACATTGTGAGTGTGAGAGAAAGAGAGTGATTGTGTGTGTGAGTGAAGGAGGGAGGGGGGAGGGAGGGAGGGAGGAAACGAATGAGTTAGTAAGTGAGGGAGAGAAAGTGAGTGAGTGAGTTAGTGAGTGTGAGAGTGAGTGAATGAGTGTGTGAATGAGAGAGCGAGTGAGGGAGGGAATGAATGAGTAATTGTGGGAGGGAGGGAGGGAGGGAGGGAGAGAGTGAGTATGTGAGAAAGAGTGTGAGTGAGTGATGGAGGGAGGGAGGGAATGAGGGAATGAGGGAGTTAGTAAGTGGGGGAGAGAGGGAGGGTGTGTGTGAGCGAGAGAGAGTGAGTGTGTGTGAGTGAGGGAGGGAGGGAGGGAGGGCGGAAACGAATGAGTTAATAAGTGAGGGAGAGAAAGGGAGTGAGTGAGTTAGTGAGTGTGAGAGAGAGAGTGAGTTAATGAGTGTGTGAATGATAGAGCGAGTGAGGGAGGGAATAAGTGAGTAAGCAAAGGAGGGAGGGAGGGAGGGAGAGAGGGAGTATGTGAGCAAGAGAGTGAGTGAGTGAATGAGTGAGGGAATGAGTGAGTGAGGGAATGAGTGAGTGAGGGAATGAGGGAATGAGGGAGTTAGTAAGTGGGGGAGAGAGGGAGGGTGTTCGAGCGAGAGAGTGAGTGAGTGAGTGTGTGAGACTCATTGAGTGAGTGTGTGTGAGAGTGTGAGTGTGAGAGAAAGAGAGTGAGTGTGTGAGTGAGGGAGGGAGGGAGGAAACGAATGAGTTAGTAAGTGAGGGAGAGAAAGTGAGTGAGTTAGTGAGTGTGAGAGAGAGAGTGAGTGAATGAGTGTGTGACTGAGAGAGCGAGTGAGGGAGGGAATGAGTGAGAAAGCGAGGGAGGGAGGAAGGGAGGAAGAGAGGGAGTGAGTATGTGAGAAAGAGAGTGAGTGAGTGAATGAGGGAATGAGGGAATCAGGGAATCAGGGAGTTAGTAAGTGGGGGAGAGAGGGAGGGTGTGTGTGAGCGAGAGAGAGAGAGAGAGAGTGAGTGTGTGAGACTCAGTGAGTGAGTGTGTGTTGAGAGTGTGAGTGAGAGAGTGAGTGTGTGTGCGAGTGAGTGTGTGAGTGAGTGAGGGAGGGAGGGAGAGATGGAGGGAGGGAGGAAACAAATGAGTTAGTAAGTGAGGGAGAGAAAGTGAGTGAGTGAGTTAGTGAGTGTGAGAGAGAGAGTGAGTGAATGAGTGTATGAATGAGAGAGCGAGTGAGAGAGGGAATGAGTGAGTAAGCGAGGGAGGGAGGGAGGGAGAGAGGGAGTGAGTATGTGAGAGAGGGAAAGTGAGTGAGGGAGGGAGGGAGAGAGGGAGGGAATGAGTGTGTGAATGAGAGAGCGAGTGAGGGAAGGAATGAGTGAGTAAGCGAGGGAGGGAGGGAGGGAGTGAGTATGTGAGAGAGAGCAAGTGAGTGAGGGAGGGAGGGAGAGAGGGAGGGAGGGAATCAGTGAGTCAGCAAGTGGGGGAGAGAGGGAGGGAGGGCGTCAGTGTGAGCGAGAGAGAGTGAGCGAGTGAGGGAGTGAGGGAGGGAATGAGTGAGTTGGGAAGGGAAGGAGAGAAAGTGAGTGAGTGAGTGAATGTGAGAGAGAGAGTGAGTGAGTGTGAGAGAGAGAGAGAGGAGAGAGGAGAGAGAGTGAGTGAGTGAGTGAGAGTGCGAGCGAGAGAGTAAGTGACGGAGAGAGGGAGTGAGTTAGTGAGTGAGGGAGAGAGGGAGGGAGTGAGTGTGTGAGGGAGAGGGTGTGAGGGAGGGAGGGAATCAGTTAGTGACTGAGGGAGAGAGGGACACTCAGGTACTGTCATCTCACTTACCTTCCGCTCTCCTCTCCTCTGATCTCCTCTCACTACTCCTCACCTCTGATCCCCTCTCACACTCCCCTCTGCCCTCTCCTCTGATCCCCTCTCACACTCCCCTCTTCCCTCTGCCCTCTCCTCTGATCCCCTCTCACACTCCCCTCTTCCCTCTGCCCTCTCCTCTGATACCCTCTCACACTCCACTCTTCCCTCTGCCCTCTCCTCTGATACCCTCTCACACTCTCCTCTTCCCTCTGCCCTCTCCTCTGATCCCCTCTCACACTCCCCTCTTCCCTCTGCCCTCTCCTCTGATCGACTCTCACACTCCCCTCTTCCCTCTCCTCTGATACCCTCTCACACTCCCCTCTTCCCTCTGCCCTCACCTCTAATCCCCTCTCACACTCCCCTCTTCCCTCTGCCCTCTCCTCTGATCCCCTCTCACACTCCCCTCTTCCCTCTGCCCTCTCCTATGATCCCCTCTCACACTCCCCTCTTCCCTCTGCCCTCTCCTCTGATCCCCTCTCACACTCCCCTCTTCCCTCTGCCCTTTCCTCTGATCCCTTCTCACACTCCTCGTCTCCTCTGATCAACTCTCACTCTGCTCCTCTCCTCTGATCCCCTCTCACACTTCCCTCTTCCCTCTGCCCTCTCCTCAGATCCCCTCTCACACTCCCCTCTTCCCTCTGCCCTCTCCTCTGATCCCCTCTCACACTCCCCTCTTCCCTCTGCCCTCTCCGGACAGGAAGAGGACCATCTCCAGTCGATACAAAATGGTTCTGTTGAAGATCAGCGACTGAGGGAACAGTCACTTTCTCTTTCGTTTTGCAGAGTTGTTGACTGAGAGAGAGAGAGAGAGAGAGAGAGAGAGACTGATTGTGTGAGAGAGAGAGAGGGAGTGAGAGAGAGAGAGGGAGTGAGAGAGAGACTCAGAGAGATAGAGAGGGGGTGAGAGGGACACTGAGAAAGAGAGAGAGGGAGTGAGGGAGAGAGTGAGTGTGAGAGAGTGTGAGCGAGTGATTGAGTGTGAGAGTGAGTGTGAGATAGTGTGAGTGTGTGAGTGAGTGTGTGAGAGAGAGAGAATGTGAGAGAGAAAGTGTGAGAGAGAAAGTGAGTGTGTGAGACTGAGTGAGTGAGTGTGAGAGTGTGAAAGAAAGAGAGTGAGTGTGTGTGTGTGAGGGAGGGAGGGAGGGAGGGAGGAAACGAATGAGTTAGTAAGTGAGGGAGAGAAAGTGAGTGAGTGAGTTAGTGAGTGTGAGAGAGAGAGTGAGTGAATGAGTGCGTGAATGAGACAGCGAGTGAGGGAGGGAATGAGTGAGTAAGCGAGGGAGGGAGGGAGTGAGTATGTGAGAGAGAGAAAGTGAGTGAGGGAGGGAGGGATGGTGAGAGGGAGTGAGTATGTGAGAGAGAGAAAGTGAGTGAGGGAGGGAGGGAGAGGGAAGGAATGAGTGAGTCAGCAAGTGGGGGAGAGAGGGAGGGAGGGCGTCAGTGTGAGCGAGAGAGAGTGAGCGAGTGAGGGAGTGAGCGAGGGAATGAGTGAGTTGGTAAGGGAGGGAGAGAAAGTGAGTGAGTGAGTGCGTGAATGTGAGAGAGAGAGAGTGAGTGAGTGTGAGAGAGAAAGTGAGTGAGTGAATGTGAGAGAAAGAGAGAGAGAGAGAGAGTGAGTGAGTGAGAGTGCGAGCGAGAGAGTAAGCGAGGGAGAGAGGGAGTGAGTTACTGAATGAGGGAGTGAGTTTGTGAGTGAGGGAGAGAGGGTGGGAGTGATTGAGCGTGTGAGGGAGAGAGAGAGTGAGAGAGGGAGGGAATGAGTGAGTTAGTGAGTGAGGGAGAGAGGGACACTCACATACTGTCAACTCACTTACCTTCCTCTCTCCTCTCCTCTGATCTCCTCTCACACTCCTCCTCTCTGCTGATCCCCTCTCACACTCCCCTCTTCCCTCTGCACTCTCCTCTGAACCCCTCTCACACTCCCCTCTTCCCTCTGCACTCTCCTCTGATCCCCTCTCACACTCCCCTCTTCCCTCTGCCCTCTCCTCTGATCCACTCTCACACTCCCCTCTTCCCTCTGCCCTCTCCTCTGATCGCCTCTAACACTCCCCTCTTCCCTCTGCCCTCTCCTCTGATCCCCTCTCACACTCTCCTCTTCCCTCTGCCCTCTCCTCTGATCCCCTCTCACACTCCCCTCTACCCTCTCCTCTGATCCCCTCACACGCTCCACTCTTCCCTCTGCCCTCTCCTCTGATCCCCTCACACACTCCCCTCTTCCCTCTGCCCTCTCCTCTGATCCCCTCTCACACTCCCCTCTTCCCTCTGCCCTCACCTCTGATCCCCTCTCACACTCCCCTCTTCCCTCTGCCCTCTCCTCTGATCCGCTCTCACACTCCCCTCTTCCCTCTGCCCTCACCTCTGATCCCCTCTCACACTCCCCTCTTCCATCTGTTCTCTCCTCTGATCCCCTCTCACACTCCCCTCTTCCCTCTGCCCTCTCCTCTGATACCCTCTCACACTCTCCTCTTCCCTCTGCCCACTCCGGACAGGAAGAGGACCATCTCCAGTCCATACAAAATGGTTCTGTTGAAGATCAGCGACAGAGGGAACAGTCACTTTCTCTCTCGTTTTGCAGAGTTGTTGACAGAGAGAGAGAGAGAGAGTGAGAGACTGAGAGATCGAAAGGGAGTGGGAGAGAGAGGGAGTGAGAGAGAGACTGAGAGAGAGTGTGATAGAGTGTGAGAGAGTGAGTGTGAGAGTGAGTGTGAGAGTATGATTGTGTGAGTGAATGTGAGAGAGAAAGTGAGTGTGTGTGTGAGTGATTGGAGGAGGAATGAGTGAGTTATTAAGTGAAGGATAGAGTGTGATTCAGTGAGTGTGAGAGAGAGAGTGACAGACAGAGTGAGAGAGGGAGGGAATGAGTGAGTTAGTAAGTGAGGGAGAGAAAGTGAGTGAGTGAGTTAGTGAGCGTGAGAGAGAGAGCGAGTGAATGAGTGTGTGAATGAGAGAGCGAGTGAGGGAGGGAATGAGTGATTTAGCTAGGAAGGGAGGGAGGGAGTGAGTATGTGAGAGAGAAAGTGAGTAAGGGAGGGAGAGAGGGAGGGAATGAGTGAGTTAGCAAGTGGGGGAGAGAGGTAGGGAGGGCGTCAGTGTGAGCGAGAGAGAGTGAGCGAGTGAGGGATGGAATGAGTGAGTTGGTAAGGGAGGGAGAGAAAGCGAGTGAGTGAGTGAATGTGAGAGACAGAGAGAGTGAGTGGATGTGAGAGAGAGAAAAAGTGAGTGAGTGAATGAGAGTGCGAGCGAGAGAGTAAGTAAGGGAGAGAGGGAGTGAGTTAGTGAGTGAGGGAGAGAGGGAGTGAGTGAGTGTGTGAGGGAGAGAGTGAGGGAGGGAGGGAATGAGTGAGTTAGTGAGTGAGGGAGAGAGGGACACTCACATTCTCTCATCTCACTTACTTTCCGCTCTCCTCTCCTCTGATCCCCTCTCACACTGCTCCTCTCCTCGGATCCCCTCTCACACTCCCCTCTTCCCTCTCCTCTGATCCCCTCGCACACTCCCCTCTTCCTTCTGCCCTCTCCTCTGATCCCCTCACACTCCCCTCTTCCCTCTGCCCTCTCCTCTGATCTCCTCTCACACTCCCCTCTTCCCTCTGCCCTCTCCTCTGATCCCCGCTCACACTCCCCTCTTCCCTCTGCCCTCTCCTCTGATCCCCTCTCACACTCCCCTCTTCCCTCTGCCCTCTCCTCTGATCCCCTCTCACACTCCCCTCTTCCCTCTGCCCTCTCCTCTGATCCCCTCTCACATTCCCCTCTTCCCTCTGCCCTCTCCTCTGATCCCCTCTCACACTCCCCTTTGCCCTCTCCTCTGATCTCCTCTCACACTCCCCTCTTCCCTCTGCCCTCTCCTCTGATCCCCGCTCACACTCCCCTCTTCCCTCTGCCCTCTCCTCTGATCCCCTCTCACACTCCCCTCTTCCCTCTGCCCTCTCCTCTGATCCCCTCTCACTCTACCCTCTTCCCTCTGCCCTCTCCTCTGATCCCCTCTCACATTCCCCTCTTCCCTCTGCCCTCTCCTCAGATCCCCTCTCACACTCCCTTCTTCCCTCTGCCCTCTCCTCTGATCCCCTCTCACACTCCCCTCTTCCCTCTGCCCTCTCCGGACAGGAAGAGGACCATCTCCAGTCGATACAAAATGGATCTGTTGAAGATCAGCGACTGAGGGAACAGTCACTTTCTCTTTCGTTTTGCAGAGTTGTTGACTGAGAGAGAGAGAGAGAGAGAGAGAGACTGAGAGAGAGAGAGAGAGGGAGTGAGAGAGAGAGAGAGAGACTGAGAGAGAGAGACAGAGAGAGAGAGAGTGAGAGAGATAGAGATAGAGAGAGAGAGAGAGAGATAGAGAGTGATTCACAGAATCACAGAATTTTACGGTACAGAAAGAGGCCATTCGGCCATCGAGTCTCTGAGGCTCTTTGACAGAGCGTCACTTTCACTGAGACCCCAATCACCGGCTTTCACCCCATAACCCCATAACCCACAAACCCCATAACCCCACAAACCCCATAACCCCACAAACCCCATCACCCCACAAACCCCATAACCCCATAACCCCACAAACCCGTCATCCCATAACCCCACAAACCCCATAAACCCACAAACCCCACGAGCCACTTAACCCCATAACCCCACAACACCACAAATCCCACAAAGCCCATAACCTCACAAACCCGTCACCCCATAACCCCACAAACCCATAACCCCATAACCCCATAACCCCACAAAACCCATAACCCCATAATCCCACAAACCCGTCACGCCATAACTCCACAAACCCGTCTCCTTAGGCCCCCCGTGGGGTGGGGGTGGTGGGGGGGTCGGGGACTGAGGCCCCCCGTGGGGTGGGGGGGGTGTGGGGCGGGGTCTGAGTACCACCGTGGGGTGGGGGGGGTGGGGGGGGGGGCGGTGACTGAGGCCCCAGTGGCCGCCGCCGCGCGGTCACTGTCCTAGGCCTTGACCCCCGGTGACCCGGCGAAGACTTGACCACACGCCGTCCCCTCGGCCCTCAGCGCCGCTCGCGGCTCCGGTTACCGGGATTCCCGCCCGTCCCCTCCGGAGCCCCCGCGTCATCACATGAGGTCACTGCCCGGCTCCCCCACCTTCACCAAGATGGCGGCCACCCGACTGCCCGCGTCATCAAATGACGTCACTGCCCGGCTCCCCCGCCTTCACCAAAATGGCGGCCACCCGACAGCTCACGTCATCACATGACGTCAGTGTCCGGCTCCCCCGCCTTTACAAAGATGGCGGCCACCCGACTGCGCACGTCATCACATGACGTCAGTGCTCCCTTTACCAAGATGGCCGCCAATGCCCTTCAGAATGGCACAGAAACACTCCTTTACTGACTCCCTCTCACACTCACTCTCTCTGTCTTTCCACAGCGGAGAGAGTGAGAGCGAGAGAGTGAGAGGGGTCCAGAGAGAGAGAGAGTGTGAGAGGGACAGAGAGAGAGAGAGTGAGTGTGAGAGGGACAGAGAGAGAGAGAGAGAGAGAGAGAGTGTGAGAGGGACTGAGAGAGAGAGAGAGAGAGAGAGAGAGAGAGAGAGAGAGAGAGAGAGAGAGGGACAGAGAGAGAGGGAGAGTGTGAGAGGGACAGAGAGAGATAGAGAGAGAGGGACAGAGAGAAAGAGAGAGAGATAGAGAGAGGGACAGAGACACAAACCAATAAACTATTTATTTCTCCCCTTCGCGGAGGATCGCGACTCGGAGCTCCTCCTCAGTGTCGGTGATCACTGACGGATCCCTTTCCGTTCCCGTTCGGCGTTTGTGTCGGTGAAGGGTTTCCCACCGAATCCCCGACATTACCGGTGCGGCTCCGGCCCCGGGTCCGGTCATCGCCGTCTAATGCCGGAGAGCGGTCGGACCCCGACGGCCGTTCACCGCTTCTCCGTCTCTCCGGCGGCCGTCGTGGGTTTGAGGGGAATAACCGTTTGCTGTGATTTGCTCTGTGGGGTCCTGTGGCTCAGGGGTGAGAGCACTCGCTGTGCAGCGAGAGACCCGGGTTCAATCCCCGGGGGGTCAGGGCCGGACCTCGGGCGAGTTTCCTGACCCCACACACGGCCCTAATAACGATCCTCTCCGCAACAAAAACAATCGCAAATGGGTCACTTTCAACCCACGACCGCGTGTGGGACCGACGCCGCTGCGCGCAATCGGCCGCCGCGTTCGCCCACAAATACACAGTCACTACACTCTGCAGTCTGTGCCGCGAAGCGCTTCGGGGGACGTCGAGAAGACGTGAAAAGCGCTGTTTCAAATGCAATGATTATTGTTATTATTATTATTATTATTATTGTTACTCCGGGTTCAAATCACACAGAAACACCTGAGTACCACTGTACTGCCCCCTGAGGCGGCGCTGCACTACTGCACCCACAATGTCCTCAGTAATAATAATAGTAATAGTAATAATAATAGCCATAATTTGGCGTTTGGTATTGCCGCCCCCGTTACTGATATTATTATTATAGTGTTATTGTTGTTGGCGTAAAGTGTAGTGACTGCTTTTCAGTGTAAATTGTAGTGACTGTGTGATTCAGTGTAAAGTGTAATGACTGCGTGTGTCAGTGTCAATTGTAGTGACTGTGTGTTGCCAATGCCCTTCACTGACAGAGACACTCACTCCTTTATTGTCTGTGTCTCACACTCACTCTGTCTGTCTGCAATGGAGAGAGTGTGAGAGAGAGTGTGAGAGTGTGTGTGAGAGTGAGAGAGAGTGTGTGTGAGAGTGAGAGAGTGTGAGAGTGAGTGTGAGAGAGTGTGTGTGTGAGTGAGAGAGTGTGTGTGTGAGAGTGAGAGTGTGAGAGTGAGAGAATGTGAGAGAGAAGTCTGTGTGTGAAGAGAGTGTAATAGTGTGTGAGAGTGTGAGAGAGTGTGAGAGCGAGAGAATGTGAGAGAGCGTGAGTGTGAGAGAGAGAGAGAGAGAGAGAGAGAGGACCGCGGGAAGGGTTGGGTTCGAGGGCCGAGTGTGAACTGTGTGACATAAACCACAATCTTTATTGTACAGCGACACAGACTATGAAGGTTCAGCCTCGTGGCCATCACCGCCAAACACAGGTCACGGCTGAGGGTTCCCTCCTCATCAATCCGTCACCCGACAGATCCTCAGAGGGTCACCGTTTTTGCCGCCGTCGTTATCACAGGGACAGAAGTAAGGATAAAGCTTCTCAGTGAAAGTGTGGGTGAAAGTGTGGAGATGGGACATGTTGTCGGCGTTGTAAAAGGTCACCTCTCCCCCCTCATAGTCCAGGAACACTCCCACCTTCCCGGGTCTGTCCCTCAGGGACAGGAGAGTGGAGGGAGAGGTCAGAGCTTCATATTCATCCCCGTTTCTCAGCCACAAAACCCAGAATCCATCCACTGGTGACGGTGTGGTCCCTCCTTTCCTGTTTACGGACTCTCGGGCCAATCCCACATCCCACTCTGTCTTGTTGCCCAACTGCACCTCCCAGTAATGTCTCCCCGATGTGAATCCCTCAGACCCCAGGACTATGAGATATTCACTAAACCTCTTGGGACCGTCCGGGAGCCGCTGCCGTGTGTCTCCGGTCCTCACACTGGTCAGGTCCTCAGATAGGATGAGGTACGGGTTCGCTGTGTCGGGATCCAGAGTCAGAGAGACCGGAGCTGAGAGAAAGACACAACACAACGTGGAGTGAGGGGACATCTGGAGCTCAGACGGTGTGTGAACACATCTATACCCGGAGACACCATCCAGCCCCGAAGGTCACCGTCTGTGTGAGCGGACTTGTAAGGGTGTGTGTGAGGGGGATGGTGTGGGAGTATGTGAGTGTGTGTGAGGGTGTGTGTGAGGGGGAAGGTGTGGGGGGTGTATGAGTGTGTGTATCTGAGGGTGTCTGTGAAGTTGTGTGTGTGAGTGGGTGTGTGAGGGTGTGTGTGAGGATCTGTGTGTGTGACGTTGTGTGTGAGGTTGTGTGTGAGGATGTGTGTGAGGGTGTGTGTGAGGGTGTGTGTGTGAGGGGTATGTGAGGGTATGTGTGAAGGTGTGTGTGTGAGGTTGTGTGTGAGGGTACGTGTGAGGGTGTGTGTGAGGATGTGTATGAGGGTGTGTGCGAGGGTGTGTGTGAGGGTGTGTGTGTGTGAGGGGTATGTGTGAGGGTGTGTGTGAGGTTGTGTGTGAGGGTATGTATGAGGGTGTGTGTAAGGGTGTGTGTGAGGGTGCGTGTATGAGGGGTATATGCGGGTCTGTGTGATGGTCTGTTTGAGGGGGTGTATGAGGGGCAATGAGAGAGTTTGTGTGTGAGTGTGTGTGAGGGATGTTATGAGGGTGTGCGTGAGGGTGTGTGTGAGGATATGTCTGAGGATGTGTGTATGATGTTGTGTGTGAGGGGTATTTGAGGGACTGTGTAATGGTTTGTTTGAGGGGGTGTGTGAGTTGGTGTGAGAGTGTGTATGCTTGAGGGGTGGGTGAGGGGTTGTATGACGGTTTGCGTCCGAGTATGTGTGAGGGTGTGTGTGTGAGAGGCTGTGAGTGGGGTTGTATGAAGTTATATGTGAGGGTGTGTGAGGGGATTTGTGTGTGTGTGTGATGGTGAGGGGTTATGTGTGAATATGTTTGTGAGGGAGTGTGTGTGTGAGGGTGTGTGTGAGGGTATGTGTGAGTGTTTGTATGTGATGTTGAGGGGGTATGTGTGATGGTGTGTGTGAGGGTATGTGTGAGTGTTTATGTGTGATGGTGAGGGGGTATGTGTGTGTGTGTGAGTCTCTGTGTGAGGGTGTGGGTGTGTGTGAGGGTGTGTGTCAAGGTGTGGGTGTGTGTGAGGGGATTTGTGAGTGTGAGTGTGTGGGTGAGGGGGTGTGACCGGGTGTATGTGAGGGAGTATGTGAGGGTTTCTGTGTGGGTGTGTGAAGGGTATGTGAGGGTGTGTGTGTGAGGGTATTTGTGAGTGTGTTTGTGTGTGAGAGTGTGTGTGTAAGGGTGTGTGAGGGGGTGTGTGAGGGTGTGTGCGAGGGGGTGTGTGATGGTGTGTGTGAGGGTGTGTGAGAGTCTCTAGGTGAGGGTGTGTGTGAGGGCGTGTGTGGGTGCGTGAGGGTGTGTGTGAGGGGCTGTGTGAGGGTGAGTGTGTGTGTGTGAGGTTGTGTATGAGGGGATGTGTGAGGGGTTGTATGTGTGAGGGTGTGTGTGTGAGGTTGTGTGTGTGAGGGGTATGTGAGGTTCAGCGTGATGGTCTGTTTGAGGGGGTGTGTGAGGGGCTATGAGAGGGTTTGTGCGTAAGGGGTTTTATGAGGGTGTGTGTGAGGGGGCGTGGGGGTGTGCATGTGAGGGTGTGTGTAAGGGTTTTTATGAGGGTGTGCTCCCTCCCTCACTCTGCCCCCTCCCTCGCTCCCTCCCTCCCACCCTCCCCCCCCCCCTCCCTCCCTCACTCCCTCCTCTCTCCCTCCTTCCCTCCCCCCCTCCCCCTCCATCCCCTCCCTCCCTTGGGAGGATGCTCCACACGTTTACTGGTTCCTCACTCAGTTACTGTCCCCACAGATTCGCTGTGAGTTTCCCACTCTGATGGCGGCCATGGGGTCCGGGTTTACTGTCAGCACCGGATAAACCGCTTCTCGTGGCGCACATTGTCGCTTCCCAACACAGTCCTCAAACCCCAAACCATAGCGACATCGACCTTCTCTTCTCCTGCCCGAACCTGCCCTGTCCATCTCACCTCTCCTCGTACGCTGTGCCCCTCACACCCTCGCACAGACCCTCGCACAGACCCTCACACTCTCACACACACTCACACACACACCCTCTCACACACCCTCTCACACCCTCTCACACACACAAACACACACACCTTCTCACACTCACCCTCTCACACACCCTCTCACGCACCCACACCCCCACCCACACACATTGCTGCTGTGTTGGTGGCCCTGAGCCCAGAGGCTAAACTCTGTGTTTATTTCCAGGCTGTTCGGAGCTTCTCTTCGGTTATGGTAAGAGCTGTGATGTGGTGCAGTAAAGAACCGTCTGTTCCGTCTCCGCTTTGTGCTCAAACGATCGGTCAATTACAAACGTCGGTTTCGGTGAACGGAATCGATTCCCACAGAGTTTTTCCTCATTTCGTTTCAGCGAACGACAGAATCCGCAGTTGTGAAGGTGAGGCCATTAATACTCTATAACGTGTCGTTCACAAAGTCCCCGATCGGAGAGTAAGGCATCGGTGGGAGGAAAGGATTGTTAGAGCTTAAGCCTTTGCTGTGAAACACGACCGGGAATGTCCACCTCACCGTCCACTGTCCACCGTCGGGTGACGTGTCGTGTCCACAACTACACACTGTTCCCCTAAGAGGGTTTTACACCAGAAATTAATCCCATTTGTTCTCGAAACGAACAGTACCCAAACATCTCACACACACACTGACCCTTCACACACATCACACAGACTACGCTCACACACACCACTCGCACACACTCCTCTCACATACCACTCGCACACCCCTCACACACGCACCTCTCACACACCTCTCACAAACACACGCCTCACACAAACACCCCTCATACACACACCCTTCACACACAGACCTTTCACACAAACACATCCCTCACATATGCACACCCCTCATACACACACCCTTCGCACACAGACCTTTTACACACACACACACCCCTCACACCAAATACCCTCACACAAATCTTCACACACACCACTCACACACACCTCACACACACCCATCTCTTACGCACCCATTCACACCCCTCAGACATATACCCCTCACACACAGTCCCCTTACACACACCCCTCCCGCACACTCCCCTCACACAGGAGGCGAGAGCACAAGTCTGAGGAGGTGGAGCAGGAGGGGGCGCAGTCGAGGCTGAAGTGGCCGAGGAGGATGAGGGAGTCGGGGCAGAGGCAGAGGGAGGCGAGGAGGGTGGAGGGGTCACAGATGAAGTTGGGGGAGGGTTTTGGGGGGCAGTACATTAGGATGTTAGAGAGAGGGGAGGGATGGCGGAGGGTGAGGTGATGGAAAGAGGGGAATGAGCGGTGGAGGAGGGGACAGGACCAGTGACGCCCTGGAGATGAGGGCCACCCCACCACCATGACGGTTGGGGCGGGGGCCATGTTGGGAGGTGTAGCGGGTGGTGTGGTCTCAGTGAGGGGGAAGGTGTCACCCAGGGTGAGCCATAATGTCAATGGCCTCACCCCTCACACACCCCCTCACACACGCCCTCACACACCCCCTCACACACACAACCTCACACACACCCTCACACACCCTGACACACACCCACACACACCCTCACACAGACCCTCACACACCCCCTCACACACACCCACACACACACCCTCACACACACCCTCACACACACACCCCCCACATCTTCACACACACCCTCGTAAAACCCCTCACACACCCTCACACACAAACCCTCTCATAGCCCCTCTCACACCCCCTCAAACAGACCATCACGCAGACCCTCACACTCATGCCCTCACAGACACACACTAACACACAAACCCTCACACACCCACTCACACAAACGCTCACAAACACCCTCAGATACACACACTCACACCCCCCTGGATGGTGTCTCCGGGTGTAGATGTGTTCACACACCGTCTGAGCTCCAGACGTCCCCTCACTCCACGTTGTGTTGTGTCTCTCTCTCAGCTCCGGTCTCTCTGACTCTGGATCCCAACACAGCGAATCCGTACCTCATCCTATCTGAGGACCTGACCAGCGTGAGGACCGGAGACACACGGCAGCAGCACCTGGACTCCCGGAAGAGGTTTGATCCTTGTCCCACTGTCCTGGGGTCTGAGGGCTTCACATCGGGGAGACATTACTGGGAGGTGCAGGTGGTCAACAAGACAGAGTGGACAGTGGGATTGGCCCGAGAGTCCGTCAACAGGAAAGGATGGATTACAGCGTTACCAGAGGATGGATTCTGGCTTTTGTGGCTGAGAAACGGGGATGAATATAAAGCTCTGACCTCTCCCTCCACTCTCCTGTCCCTGAGGGACAGACCCGGGAAGGTGGGAGTGTTCCTGGACTATGAGGGGGGAGAGGTGACCTTTTACAACGCCGACAACATGTCTCATCTCCACACTTTCACCCACACTTTCACTGAGAAGCTTTATCCTTACTTCTGTCCCTGTGATAACGACGGCGCCAAAAACGCTGACCCTCTGAGGATCTGTCGGGTGGCGGATTGATGAGGAGGGAACCCTCAGCCGTGACCTGTGTTTGGCGGTGATGGCCACGAGGCTGAACCTTCATAGTCTGTGTCGCTGTACAATAAAGATTGTGGTTTATGTCACACAGTTCACACTGAAAGTTTGGGTTAATATCAATGTTATAAATACGGTTTTGCATTGTTATTACTGAGGACGTTGTGGGCGGTTACACAGTGCAGCGCCGCCTCTCGGGGCAGTTCAGTGGTACTCAGGTGTTTATGTGGGAGTTGACCACAGAGCAAATCACAGCAAACGGTTTTTCCCCTCAAACCCACGACGGCCGCTGGAGAGACGGAGAAGCGGTGAACGGCCGTCGGGGTCCGACCGCTCTCCGGCATTAGACGGCGATGACCGGACCCGGGCCGGAGCCGCACCGGTAATGTCGGGGGATTCGGTGGGAAACCCTTCACCGACACAAACGCCGAACGGGAACCGAAAGGGATCCGTCAGTGATCACCGACACTGAGGAGGAGCTCCGAGTCGCGATCCTCCG